GAGACGGAGCTGGAGCAGTCACGGCTGCGGGAGAGCGAGACCCTGGGAGCCCTCAAGGAGATGCAGGACAAAGTCCTCGACATGGAGAAGGTGATGGGGACGGCGCGCGGCGGTGGCTTGGGGGACGCGGGGGTGGTCGCACGGGTGGGCTTGGGGACAGGGAGAGATGCGTGAGTGGCCTTAGGGACAGTGGGTGGCCCTGGGGACGGTCACACGAGTGCCTCTGGGCATGGGGAGTGACACACAAATGGCCTTGGGGACAGGGAATGTCACACAAGTGGCCTTGGGGATGGCTGTGTCCCCCTTATGTCCCCTATCCCAACATCTGGGTCCTCTACTGGCCACCTGGGTCCCCTTTTGGCCACCTGGGTCCCTCGTCCCAACATCTGGGTCCCCTTTTGCTCCCCCTGGGTCCCTCATCCCAACATCTGGGTCCTCTACTGGCCACCTGGGTCCCCTTTTGGCCACCTGGGTCCCTCGTCCCAACATCTGGGTCCCCTTTTTGACCACCTGGCTCCCATGTCCCCAACATCTGGGTCTCCTCCTGGCCACCTGGGTCCCCTTTTTCCCCCCTTGGGTCCCTCATCCCAACATCTGGGTCCCCTCTTGGCCACCTGTGTCCCTTGTCCCAACATCTGGGTCCCCTCCTGGCCACCTGGGTCCCCTTTTGCCCCCCTGTGTCCCTCATCCCAACATCTGGGTCCCCTTTTTGACCACCTGGCTCCCATGTCCCCAACATCTGGGTCCTCTCCTGGCCACCTGGGTCCCCTCTTGGCCCCTTGTCTCCCTTGTCCCAGAATTTAGGTCCCCTTCTGGCCACTTGTGTCCCTCATCCCCACATCTGGGTCCCCTCTTGGCCTCCTGGGTCCCTCATCCCAACATCTGGGTCCCCTCTTGGCCACCTGTGTCCCTTGTCCCAACATCTGGGTCCCCTCCTGGCCACCTGGGTCCCCTTTTGCCCCCCTGTGTCCCTCATCCCAACATCTGGGTCCCCTTTTTGACCACCTGGCTCCCATGTCCCCAACATCTGGGTCCTCTCCTGGCCACCTGGGTCCCCTCTTGGCCCCTTGTCTCCCTTGTCCCAGAATTTAGGTCCCCTTCTGGCCACTTGTGTCCCTCATCCCCACATCTGGGTCCCCTCTTGGCCTCCTGGGTCCCTCATCCCAACATCTGGGTCCC